TCCTGCATACTCCGTCCTGCATGATCCACCTTTTAAAAAAAGATTTTAAAACCTACTGTTCACACTTTAATACAGATGATTTTATCTTCCTCAATTATAAACACTTTTTTCTAGGCTTGCAACGTGAAGATATAAGTAGTATAGAAATTGTAGGAGGAGCAACACGAATTCCTGCAGTGAAAGAACAAATCACTAAATTTTTTCATAAAGACATAAGTACCACATTAAATGCTGATGAAGCTGTTGCAAGAGGATGTGCATTACAGGTATGATTATGGTTATCATTGTTTTTAGAATGGTTATCATTGTTTTTAGAATGTATACTTTTCAAAAAATAGGGTGATAGGTCAACTGCAGAAACCACACCAAACCCGTTCTCTTCCATTCTAACTCATGCTGTTAGTTCCTGTGTCAGGTGTCATTAAGTCAGTTAGGAGTCAATGACCCTGGGTACACCAGACTGAAACCCTGCCTCGTCCTATACCATCCTCGCAGTTGTTATATTTGAGCCCACTGTTGCATCCACTGTATCATCACTCTGTCTTGTTGAGGGCTTTCTTTAATTTCTTTCCCCACTGACCCTCCTACTCATAGGAATTTTTTTTTCATAGGAATTTTTAAAATATTTTCTCTCTCAACTTCCTATAAATTGAAGTGATTTCTGATATATGTTATATCTTTCCAGTTTCTAATTTTTAATTATGATAGGACTACTAATCTGTAACTACACTGAAAGGGCAATTTTTTTTTAATGAATTTGACAGTTCCCAAACACACAACATTCCTCTAGTTCTTTGATGTTTCTATACTGAAAGGGCAATTTTTTTTTAATGAATTTGACAGTTCCCAAACACAACATTCCTGTAGTTCTTTAATGTTTCCTCCCCCCACTATCATGGCCCCGGTTAGACCTCACAAATCCTGTAAGACCAGCATTTGTACATTGGAATAAAGAGGGAACTGATGACAAGGGGCTCAAGTAGAACATGTTTTGAAAGTGATTATCGCAGCATCTGTACAAGTTCACTTGATGTAATTGATTTATAGATTATTCTAATATCTGTAAGAGCCCTCAATAAAATGATCAATAAAAAATAAAATTTATTTGAAATTTAAAATAATTGCTTAATTTTGGTTGTTATAGAAGTGTTCTGACCCTTGTTAATTTTTTTAATTTAGCAATTTTTATTTAAGGATTTCATTAACAGTGTAGAGCATGATTTGTATTTGTTGATATAAATGCAATAATACATCTCTTTATTTTCAGTGTGCAATTCTTTCACCAGCATTTAAAGTGCGTGAATTTTCCATAACTGACCTTAGTCCTTACTCAATCACACTGAGGTGGAAGACCTCTTTTGAAGATGGAACTGGGTAAGTTTACTTCTCAAGCTTTGATTAGAGCTCTTCATAAATCCTTAACCAATTGAATCTACTTTTCTAAATTCGGAGAATTTACTGCATATACTTGAGTATAAGCTGACCCGACTATCAGCCGAGGCACCTAATTTTACCATAAAAACTGCATTAAAAATGTGCTGAAAAACTCGGCTATACATGAGTATATACAGTATACTTCTCAAAATTCTCAGAAACACTATTTTTTAAAAATGAGGATATAGAAATGATGCTTAATAATTTGTAAACCATAATGAGCATATTTCAAATGAAAACTGGAAATATACAAACCTTAAGATTTGCCTTTGTCAATCCCCAACTCCTTTAGTTAGGTATGAATCTTTTCACCTTTGTAATACATGTGTAAGATCATCTGTATATTTCCAGATATACACTTAGACTTGGTTTTTCAATATATTCTGTGTATTCTGTCCATGTCAGCAGTTGTATGTATTGTAATGTAACCAATGTACTAGTAAGTCATAATTTAGCTATTATAAACCGTGCTATTAGGAATATCCCAGTGTGCATATCTATATCAATTATACTCCTATTAGCAATGTAAGCAAATGAATATAAACTTATGACATTGTCCCCTGTTCTGTGTTTGTTTTTAAAAAATCCCCATTTGGAATTAACACACACAAGTCCCTAAGGATTGTCAATGATGCCTTCTCGTGGCCACACCCTCGGTGTTGGGTAGACTTCTTCATAGGGTTTTCATGGCAGATCACCAGTCTTTCAGCTAGTAGTTGAGTACTTTAACTGGTTCTGTCCCCAACGGGATCCACCATCTAGAGCAGTGGTTCTCAACCTTCCTAATGCCGCCACCCTTTAATACAGTTCCTCTTGTTGTGGTGACCCCAACCATAAGATTGTTGTCATTGCTACTTCATCACTGTCATTTTGCTACTGTTATGAATCCTGCAACCCCTGTGAAAGGGTGATTCGACCCCACCCCCCCACCGCCGCCCAAAGGGGTCGCGACCCACAGGTTGAGAACCACTGATCTAGAGCTAGAGGCTCACAATGCTTGTAATACACTAAATTGATTCTGGAGAGCAAATGTGCACAGAGTGCAGGCATACAAATAAGGAAGCAAATGGGGTTAAGTGTTTCACAGACAAATCTAGATATAAGCAGATCTTGTATACACGTTTCTTGTTTCTTGTTATTTTTGTACTTTTCAACACATTGAAATATATTTCCAAATAAAAGTTTGTTTAAGGGAACAAGAGGGAAAAAGGGAAGACTCGTAATATGACATATATTTTTATAGGTAATGAATAGGATTTGGCCCTCAGGAGCAACAAAATAATTCCTACATGAAATAAGAGACTAAGATGTACCTATTCTTAGGTAATTTGTTTCCGCATTTAGTTGTATTGAATTGTCTGTTACACTGATAAATAACCTGAAATCATCTTTCAGCCTTTGGTCTGTCAGAATGAATGTTTATAGCAAAAGAAATAATTTTATCTTTACATTGTTTTAACAAATATTACTTTATTAAATAAGAATGAGAGAGTCTCTATATTTAGGCTCATAAGTAACTTTTAATTTTTCTTAAATGAGAGTTTTCCCCACTTCATTTTAGGGAATGTGAAGTATTCACTAAGAATCATCCTGCCCCATTCTCAAAAGTCATCACTTTCCACAAGAAGGAACCATTTGAACTAGAAGCATTTTATACCAATTCACATGAAGTGCCTTATCCTGATCCAAGAATTGGTAAGAAAATATGAGGGAGCTGCAAAATGTTTCTGAAGAAATGGAAAATCATGAAAATTTTCCGCTAATTTTGTGAAGCTGCTTCCAACTTTACATCAATGTTGGAATCAAGGAAACAATTATATTGACATCTCAGCTGTGCTAACAGTATTTTTAAAATATTTTCATTCTTATTTTAAAATTTACATATTTTAGTCTTCAGAATTAATTTTAATTTATTCTCACTCTATCTTAAAATACTATGTGATTGACCTGAAAGATTTGTGTGTGGTTACTTTGTAAGGAAAAACTGTCTAGTAAAAATTTTGAATTAATGGTGCTAGGATAGCTGTATATTTTAATTATAAGATTATATTCACTAGAACCAACTTGAATGAGTATCATTTAATTAATAAGAACTGAGAATAATTGATTATACATATCATCCATTTTAATTGAGTTTAATTAATTTTAAATAATATAAGTTAAACTGATATAACAGCATTTATATATGTTTATGATTTTATTTTAAAGAAATAAAATAGTTTCATAAAGTGAAAAATTGGTATGCTACATACAGGTATTGATGACTGCTGGATAACTTAAAATTTTGCTACCTTACTAGCTATAAGATAATGCCCCTTTGGGTTTCACACAGAAATTGAATATTTTATTTTGGTTTTAAGAGTAAAAATGTTGTAAGATTTTTTAAAGCTATTTCCTTTGAGTCAGATTGTCCTTGGTCAAAATTCCAACTATTTTGTTCTCTAGCATTGGTGACTTTTGGGTAAAATTACTTAACTTTTCAGAGTCTCCATCAGCATTTCTGAAGTATTGTTTTAAATGGTAACTTAGTTAATCTGAGGGCAGTGCCTGGCCCTGGATGTAGCCAAACAGTTGTGGTTATTTTCCCAGTGCCTGAAACATGAGAGTGCCGTTATCGAATGAGTGCCTAGGCTGAGCCAGTGTCAGACTCGTGTGCTAATGAAAACTCTTTCCTTTTTTAAGGGAGCTTCACTATTCAGAATGTTTTTCCACAGTCTGATGGTGATAGTTCCAAAGTGAAGGTCAAAGTTCGCATTAATATCCATGGAATCTTCAGTGTGGCTAGTGCATCAGTAATTGAAAAACAAAACGTAGAAGGTGATCACAGTGATAGTCCAATGGAGACAGAAGCTTCATTTAAGAATGAATCCAAAGATGATGTGGTACGTAGCAGTCCTGTTTGGAAATTCTGTTAATATATTGTGTATTATTGTGTGTTTTGTTTTCCAACATTTTTATTGGCACATAATTAACATATCATACAATTCAATAATTCACTCATTTAATCATATCAGGAAGAATTATACAATCATTACCACATCAATTTTAGAACAACCCCCCCAATTGTTAAATCGCCTTTAAAATGAGTTGTGCAATCACATTCAGTTCCAGTGCTTACCCCTCCCACCTTAATTGTTTACTCCCAAGATCTCCTTACCCTATCATCTACTCCCCATGCTTACGTCCCCTATAAACCCTTGTATCAGTTATTTTCCCTATTCATCCACTCCTTCTGTGCTTCACAAACTGGGAAAAACCAAAGAAACAATAAAAGACAAAATTGAAATAAGGTGGTAAGGATAAAATAATAATAAAAATACAAATAATAAGAAAGAAAAGACACGCCCCCCCCAATCAATATTTTTAAAGCCAGGGGAGAAATGTTTATCATGGAACAAGTAAGAGATACTTGCACCTAGCAAAAATTCAGGTCTATGGGGGGTGGGGGGGGTGTCAACTGGCCAAGTATTGAGTTCAATCCTGCATAAACAAGATATAATACTGGTAAGACTGTTTGAGAATCTTGCCTATGGCTAGAGGGGATTTTCAGAGGCTTAATCTGACTAGATTCTCTGCAAATGGGTTTTGGGCTCCCACTGAAGTATGAATTACTATTCTGGTGAGCTACCATCAAGTAGGCCTAGACCCCCTAATCATGGTGACTCCATGCACAACTAAGTGAAACACTGCCCTGCCCTACACCATCTCTTGGATTGGTTACAGATTATACCATTGTGATCCATAGGATTTCCATTGGCTTATTTTTAGAAACTAGATTTCTAGGCCTGTTCTTCTAGTCTATTTTAAGCTAGAAGCTCGACTGTAACTTGGTCAGCATCATAGCAACAAGCAAGCCTTCACTAACAGGTAGTAGAACACAAAAGGCATAGTAACCAGGAATCAAACTTGGTTTTCCTGTGTAAAACATGAAAATTCCTACTGAACAACCAGTGCTTTGTGTATTATATACAATATCTTATATCTAGCACTTTAATAATTGAAATATTAAACTGTTTTTACTTTGAATTCAAGCTGAAGGAATTACTATACAGACCTATTTTTTTCTTTTTATAAAAGTACTAATAAATAATTATACATTAAATACTCTGTATCTTATCATAA